GAGGCTTAGAGCATGGTCTTATGAAGAGAGTGTCATCAATAAATCCAATAGCTATATAAGGACTCACGCACATAGGGATAATATCATACCATTGGAAAAATGTAGAGGATTCTTGTCCCTAATAAGTGGAATCATGATCATGCTCCTAACTTAGCGGTGTGTTAATGGAACCATCAAATGTCAAACAAAAAAGTTGTGATCCTTGAATACAAGGTCATTGATACCCGTGGTCGAGCTCTATTAGATAGGTAGTATACTCTAGAGAAGAAAAGAGTCAGCTGGACTAAAAGTGATGTGCTCAATAATAAAATACGGATGAATGACTATTTATGATACTTTGGAGGACTATTATGGACGGTTATTTCACATATGTGCTTGAGCTTTTAGGTTTGGTGGGATAATTTAGTAATTTATTTTTCTTCAAATATATAATTTAGGCTTCTTAATTTCATCCGGATTTTATTTTTACTATGCAAGGCAAGAATTTGAATATATGACTATTTAGGAAGGAAACTAATAAATTACTGCATTTGAAATTTTGTGCCATGTGAACGTGTTTAAGATGAGAATTAGTTTTTTTTTTTTTTTGACGTAAGTATAACTTAATAGCCATGACACATATTTTTTAAGGTTGTGGGATAATGTTTCGATGGATCTTCTATTCTCTCTTTTCTGAAAAATTATTATTTTTTTAACAATTACAAGATTTTTTTAATAAAATAAAAGTGGTCTCATTTAACGGAGTGTAGAAAAATCGAGAAGCTTTTTAACAAAGAAAACGCGTAAGGATTTGACGATTAATCAAAACACCAAAGACTAAACGAGCGTTAAATACTCGCCGTCGGCACCTGTCATGCTCCCGCCGTTTGTTTCGTAATGAAGGCTTGACTTCGACGTTGCAGTTTGACATTTTTTACGGTGGGTGGACTTCACTTCCCTCCCGGGCCCGCGAACTAGTGGGGCCCACGGCCCATAACTTAAAATATAAAAAACAATTTAACTCCTACTTTAAATATAATATCTATTCCTCTTAGTATTTAATTAATTATATTTATTTTACCGACCCAACAATTATTTTATTTAGTATGGTTCGCTTCAAAATAATATATATATATATATATATATATATAGTTCTTTCGTTAATATGCGTGTAAGTGAATTTATAGAAAAAGTATCAATGTTTTAACGGTTTCTTATTTCTTAGTTCAATCTATATAGCCTGAATCAGTAATATTTCTGTTGCTTGCTTCATCTTTTACAATAAATAAAAATATAATTAATAATTATTTCTTGCTTTTTTATTTTTTCAATCGAAAAAAGTACTCCTTAAATTTTAAATTTAAAAAGTAAAAATTTTATATGAAAATTAATTTTTAAAATAAATATTCAGATTTTTTTAAAGTTATCATTATTTTTAATATTTATTATGTATTTTATAAGTAAAAAATAATAAAATAATTTTATATGCTTTAAAAAAACTGGATACGTAAACAAAAAAAACAAGAAACTTAAGGGTCAATTGGTAACGTTTATGTTTCTGGTTAGAAAAATAGAATTGGGAACAAATTGGAAATGGAAATAAGAAACAAGAAACATGCTTTCGTTGTTTCCAAAATTTCGATATAATTTTAAAAACGTTTTTAGAAAATAGAAATAATAAACATAAATAGTTGTGAAATGCTTAAATTTCTTAGCAAAATTGAAAACGAAAATTAAGAAATAAGAACGTCAATTACCAAATAATTTTTTTTTTCCGTTTTCAAATTTCTATACAACTTTGAGATTTTTTCTAAAAAAACCAGAGAAACAATAAATATTAATAGTTGTCAAATGCTTTCAATAAAATTGAAAATGAGAAACAAATAACGGAAAAATATAATAACTAGCATAATGGATAGATATTGTTATTTTTAAATATTAATAAAATTAAAATTTTATAATTATGTTTTTTTAATAAATAAAATTGTAAACTAAACATTTTTATTGCGCAGGGAGTAAAGTATTAAAAAAGACATTTTATCAAACAAGACCTAGGTTTTTAGCTTCATGTGTTTTATTTGTCAACTTTTAAATATACATTTGAAATCTTATCCAAACTCCAAAAAAATAATTCTCCCTTTAAAACATGACCCTAATTTTGAATTTATTACTAAATATAAAGTGTGTTTAAAAAAAATATATTTATATATTAAATAAAAATAAAATATTTTTCAATCTCAGTATAAATTATTCTTCAATGACAAAATTAAGGCTCCACTATAAATTTGATCCTAAATATTTCTTTTATACCTCACTGATAAATGATTTGTTGATGCAGGAATTTGGATTGTATTTTGACGAAGAAAGTTCTTGCACAAGATACAAAAAACTTTTAGTTAATTTAGATATCAAAATATGAAGACTTAGCGAGATATATATACATAGACACACATACATATACATATATTGCAAGTGTTCATTGGAACTTTCGTCGTCAAAATACGGATTCAAATTCCTATATCAACATAATCGTTTTTTTTTATGATTATCTTCAACTAATTTAGTTTGCTTTAATTTTAATTTTAATTTATTGAGATCATGAAAACTTGAGGAATGGAGATAAGTTTTGAAGAATACAATAACCTCTGACTTCATTTCATATTTGGCATATAAAAACACCGATATGAATGTTAATCCAGGCAAAAAAAAAAATCTCAAAATATATCTTACCAAATAGTATTAAAAAAAAGAAGAAGAAGAAGAAAAATTAAAATGAAAGTATATGAAATTAGGAATGAAATTACTAGATTGTGCATGGAACAAAAGGAATAATACAAAGAAATTGGCATCATCAAGAGGTGTTTATATTTTTATATTGGATAAGGGTTGTTAGACAGCATTGCTTCCAGCCAAATTACAAGGGTTAAGCGAACCAAACTCCACTAAAATATAAATTAAAAGATGGCTTTTATATCTTAGGAGCAACAATATTTAAAACAAAAATTAGTCTTAGGAGAGGAGAAAAATATGCCAACTGGGCAGAGATTATTTGATGGGTTATATTATTATATATAGTTTCAAAACGATTTGTATGAAAGTGATAGATTTACTTAGCCCTCTTGCATTCTACCTTAGTTTTGTAGGGCTTTTATATATATATATATATATATATATATATATATTTTTTTTTTTTTGAAAAATAAATAGATGGATTCAAATCTAGCTCAAGTAGACAAGTTAGGTACTCTCGATCTCGCATCCCACAATTGTTGAACTAAAAAATTCAAAGACTTTGATCATGTGTTTTGTCTCTTTTCATTTTCTTTCTCAAAATATTTCAAAAGTTGTGAGAATAAAAAATTAATTAAAGTGTATTTGGCTAGTTAATAAGGTGTTAAAGAAATTAAAAGGAAAGAAATATAATCGACAGTCGTCAATCCGAACAATAGTTTAGTAGATGGGTACCAAGTAAAAGATTTCTACTCTCACATTTGTTAACTAAAAAAGTGAAATAGTTATCAAACAAATTTCTAATTTTTCTTTTTATTGATTAGTATAATGTTATAAATATGGGAGAGAGAGGTTCAAGTTTTTAACCTTAATTTTTTTAATGAGTATTTTAAAGTTTGTAATAAAATATTATTTATTTATTTTTTAGTACTTGTAATAAAATATTATGATTGAACTCATCCTTTTAATAATAAATAGACCATATCACATACATTAAAATAAGGCCTTAATTTCTGTTTTCCCTTTGTCCACCACAACTTGTCATTTTCATTCCAACATGGATTTGACTGAACTCAAATGCCTGAAATTTTTAACTCCTAAGATTTTACTTCGAGATAATAAATAAAGATATATATATTTTCCTCCGAAAAAAGATATATATATAGAGAGGGTTTAACATTTAGAATCGAATTAAAATTAAATAACCGTCTTTTTCCTCCCGTATAAATGTGTAGGTACTGGACCTTATTTAAATTAACCAAACCTTATAATAAACCCTCATAAAAAAAATTAAAGAATTCTATATAAGGGTATGTAATTAATATAGTTCATTAACAATCCAGAAAAGTGATAAAAAGAAGGAAATTAATAAATGAAATTACCGATATAGCTCGATGCACCACTTTGCACATCACGTCGTTCACTGAATCCGCACCAAAATCCTTAAAAATTGGACAAAATTTACCAGCACAGCAACCTTTGCTGTAGGAATCCATAAAGGAAGGACGCGTGGCCCAATATAATTACGACACGTACTTTATTTGGTAAACCTTTTTACCAACCGAGTTTCTTTTTTCCCCTTTTGGTGGGATTTTTTTATTAGTTTTCTTCTCTTATTTCAATGCACGACTCTTAAAATTTTCAATTATACTTTTAATTGATATATATATATACATATATATATATATATTAGTTTTTTAAAGCATCAAGTTTATTTGTTTAGAGTTTGTTTGATTGTAATTTTTTTATATTTAAAAATTAGCTTTGTTAATTAATATTTTGCTTTGTTTTCAAAACTTTAATCTATTATTTGAATTTGAATATAATTTTCATTTTCATTTTAAATATTTTTTTCTAAAACTTAATTCAAATCTAATCTATAACTTAAAAATAAAATTGGACTTGAAAGGTAAGACAATTAAAAGTTACTAACATTATAATCAATTAAGTTATGTTCATGTAAATATCGAAAATTATTGATTATAAAAGTTTGGTTAGAGTTTTGATAATATTTTAATTTTTTAATCAAATAAAATATTAGTTATTAGAACTAAATTTTAAATAATAAAAAGACGATAATAAGTCTTTAAAAAAAATTGATGTTTCAAAAATTTAGAATAAAAATTTTTAAAAAGTATATGTAACCAATACAATTGAAGTAGAAAAAGAAAATTAGAAAAACTAAAAAAGAAAAAGAAAAAAAAATAAAAGGGCCTACCATTGGGATACACGTGGCTTAGCTGCTGAAATCACTGCAGCCAAGGCTGCAAGTTCCGTCCCTAAGGCGACTGTAGTGAGTAAAATGTGGTGGGAGCGGATAGCAGCTTTCCATCCATTTTGACGCTTCTACCCCTGGGTCTTCTTCTTCTTCTTCCATATAAAAACAATGGTAACGGATCCTTTCTGTGTGCTCCTGGAAAGTATCAGGAATCACGGCGGCTCCCTGTTTTCTTTCTTTTTTGTCTCTTTCTTCTACAGTTTAATTGCTCTCCCATTCTTCAGCCTTTGTTCCTCCTTGAAGTCATCTATTATCTCACTGATGGAATCCATTATCGGAATCAGCATCTCCGACGTCATTTCCTGGATTCCATTGCTGTATTCGTCCGTGAATGTAAGTGAATCTCTTGTCTAGATTCCGATTGATTTTACTGGAAACGTTGTGTGTGTAGAGGAATTAAGTGAGAGATTTAGAGGCCTAGAGATTCTGTGTTATAATGGAGGAGAGGCATGTTCTGTTTGGTAAATATGAGATTGGGAGGTTACTTGGGAAGGGGACTTTTGCTAAGGTCTATTATGGTAAAGAATTGGAGTCTGGCGAAAGTGTGGCGATCAAGGTGATTAACAAGGACCAGGTCAAGAAGGAAGGGATGATGGAACAGATCAAGCGTGAGATCTCCGTGATGCATCTCGTTCGCCATCCGAACATCGTTGAGTTGAAGGAAGTAATGGCGACTAAGACGAAGATCTTCTTCGTCATGGATTATGTTCGCGGCGGCGAGCTATTTTCCAAGGTTGCCAGAGGTAAACTCAAGGAAGATGTGGCTCGCAAGTATTTTCAGCAGTTAATCAGCGCCGTCGATTACTGTCACAGCCGTGGAGTCTCTCACCGTGATTTGAAGCCGGAGAATCTATTGCTGGACGAGAACGGAGATCTCAAGATCTCCGACTTCGGACTCTCCGCCCTACCAGAACAGCTTCGGAACGACGGCCTTCTCCACACGCAGTGCGGTACTCCGGCGTATGTCTCACCAGAAGTACTAAAAAGAAAGGGCTACGACGGGGCAAAAGCCGATATCTGGTCTTGCGGTGTGATTTTGTATGTTTTACTGGCAGGATTCCTTCCATTTCAGGACGAGAACATCATCACTATGTATAAGAAGGTTTTCAAGGCCGAATTCGAATGTCCGCCATGGTTCTCCGCCGAAGCCAAGCGGTTAATTTCAAAGATACTCGTTGTAGATCCAGGAAGACGAATCACAATCGGAGCAATCACGCGCGTTCCTTGGTTTCGGAAAGACTTCTCCAGATCGCTCTCGTTCACGATGAAAGAAATCATCGCAGCGAAAACAGAGGACTCCGATTCCGATTCCGAGAGTTCGAAACTGTCGACGCCAAAATTCTTCAATGCGTTCGAGTTAATTTCGTCGATGTCGTCCGGATTCGATCTGTCGAGCTTGTTCGAGAACGAAAGGAAGAGCGGATCCATGTTCACATCTCGATGCTCGGTGTCGACGATCATGGAGAAGATCGAGACGGTGGCGAAGAGACTGAGCTTCAAGGTATCAGAAGTGAAAGACTTCAAGCTACGGCTGCAAGGTCCGACGGAGGGACACAAAGGAAAGCTATCTGTGACGGCGGAGGTATTCGAGATAGCGCCGGAAGTTGCCATCGTCGAATTTTCGAAGTCGTCCGGCGATACTTTGGAATATTCGAAGTTCTGTGAAGACGACGTCCGGCCTGCGCTGAAAGACATCGTTTGGACGTGGCAAGGTGATTGTACCCCTAACGCTGACGGACGTAACGGTCAATTTGACGGTGACGGATTTTTCTGAAAAGGAAGAAACGGTGATTACGGGCACAGCCTGGGAAAATTGTTTCTGTTTTACTTTAACTGTTTTTTTCCCCTTTTTAAACGTAAATTACCTTCCAGAGGGAAAAGGGTTGTGTTCTTTTTGCTGTGAGTTTTTTTTTTTCCGAAACGTTTGCTGTGAGTTTTGTAAATAATAACGTTGCCAATTATATAAAATTAGAAATAAATTTTACTTAAATTACAAATGTGGTCTTGAACTTTTTAAAATCATGCTTAATAAGTTAATCAACTTCAAAAAGTCTTTAAAATAGTTTTTTAATTTTCAATTTTATCTCAATATTATATTTTATATTTAAAATTTGTTTAGACACCATTTGTCGCATATTTTAAAAATAGTTGAAACTAAGCTATACTTTTATTTAATTACTAACATTTTATAATATACTTTTAAATATGGTTTAAAATTTGTTCGCAAACAGGGCTTCCCACTATAATTATATGACTAGTCGTATTTCATGATTGCCATTGAGAAAATAATATTCTAGAAAAAAAAAGAAGGAAAAAACCAATTTATATAATCAATAGTTTAGATTTGCTGACTTGAATTTAACTCAATGGATTAAAAATACCTATATCCTATTAAAAGGTCGTGAATTCGAATCCCCCATCCCACGTTGTTGTACCGATTTTTTTTTTAACAATATATGGAAGTGAAATTCCAACTTTCAACTTTTTATGAGTAGGTTGATATAAAATAATATTTATTAACTCAAACTAATCCTTAAAAGTTTCATAATTTCCATTGTTTTTCCAAACTATCATGGACATCAGATTTTTTTTCTTTTAATAATGTTTTGTTTTCAACTTATTCAAAATATATATCAACTCTCAAACTATTTTCAAGAATAATGCTTGGAAAATTGTAGGTCACGACATATGCCACCTCACGCTTTCCTAGTTACATGGCGCCATCTATGTGTTTTTTTTTAATTCTGACATGTTTCTTCAAAAGAAAACATATGCAAAAATATCACATGTTTACTATTCTACTACAGTGATTGCACATCTACTTTATTATCTAAAGGTCTTAGATCCAAGTCTAAATTATACATATTGTAAATTATTTTATCTTTTAAAAAAATTTAAATAAACGTTACCTATTAAAATTTATCTTATTTTCCAAATATTATTCTTAAAAATAATTTGGAGGTTGATATATATTTGGAATAAATTTAAAACGAAACGTTATTTTTAAAAAAATATATATCATGGACATCAATACTTTATTTAAATTTTCATTTTGTTAGTACGTTTAAAATTTCATCGATGTTTATAATAAAATAAAAACATTAATATATTCATCAATTTCAAAATTTAAATCATAAAAATAAACACAAAAGTTTTTTTTTTTTTGAGAAATTACTAGAAGTGTTTTTATTAATACAAAAATAAAAAAATGGGATGATATTTAAATCCAACTTTGATTTCAAATAAATGAGTATACAAGTTTATTATTATTGAACTGTAAATAAATTATCGAACTCGACTCGAGCATAATTTAATTATTAAGACATGAACAACATTTTCGATAGAACATGGTTCAAATTTCACGTCCACACGAAAGACATAAGTAAAAAGGAGCTTAGAATAAAAACGTGTAGGTGTACGATGCAAGTTCATTGATTAAAACCACAAACTAATTTATCGTTTTCCAAAAGTGGAAGGTTGCTGAAAAGATATTAATTAATTATGGAAATTGAGTGTTAGGGAGGACTAAGAAGCGCCATTTAAGACAAAGAATTAGGAAAAAGGAAATATTTCAACCCTAACATCAATTATTAGTGTCTAACCTTCTTTGATTTGATTGCCAATTTGCCACGTACTCATCGTTTCCTCAACTAGATCTAACTTCAGTTTGTCGAGATAAACTATTTTTATGGGATTTCTCAAAGCAAAGTAGAGTGATCAAACAAATAATTTTGTTACAAGTATTAGTATTTCAATTAGTTGAATTTGTTTGGGTCGGCCCATTTCCATTACCAGGCTCAAGAAGCCCAATGAACTTTAAATATTGTTCAAACACTGGCAAAGTTTTCATTATAGTTTAAATCTCGTTTCTTCTATTATTTTAACTTTTGAACTTCAAAACGTATATTTTACGTTTGAATTTTCGAAAAATAATCATATTATCCAATAACTACCTTAGCAAAACCTACGTGGCACTAATACACGTAGTCAAAGCCTGTGTTATCCATTTGTAGCACTAATACGTGCTCTTGTCGGTAGGTTAAAATTTTAAACACATGATAGAAATTCTGTTATTCATTTGTTAAAATAAAATTAAGGTAGGAGCCTAAAATGATATTTTTCAAACCCAAAGATAAAAATAATAAATTTAAAAGTTGAATGACATGATAGAATAAAGACGAGAATTTAAAAACTAAAACAAACCTTGTGAAATTTTAAAATGGAATAAATTTAAAAGCTTAAAAACTTTTTTTTTTCCTTTCTAAATGTGGACAGTCATGCCTGCACAGTCATATTATATTACGAAACAAATCTTGATGTATTTTTAGAATATGATTCTTTCTAAAAAGATTATGAAAAAGGAAAATATTTAGGTTGAGGACTTACCAGTGGAAAAAATGAGAGCTATTTATTTTTTTAATATTTGTTAATTGTCAAATATTTAATGGTAATGAATACAAGGTAGGTTATCGTCGATCAGAACAAAGTACTTTTCAAAAAAATAATGAGGAATATCTTTTTGAAGGAAAATACTCCCGTCTTGACTTTTGTCTTTCTCAATCAACCATAAATGTTTGACAACTAATAAAGAAAATGTAAAAACTAAGATAGCTTCTATTATTTTTTCTGATGGTCTGAGTGATCGACCTCGACCCTATAATTATGAGCTAAATATTTAATAATTTTTTTTCTTAAAAAACAAAATGATTATTTAAATATATAATTAACTACGTTAAATAATATTTTGATCTCTATACTTTTGACTTTGGTTCATTTTCGTACTTTCAAAATGTTACAACTTTGTTCCTTTTGATCCATGTACTTTTAAATATTTATTTTTATTTAAAAAAAATATATTTATTTTGGTCTATGTGCATTTTAAAAGTGAATATTTTGGTCTCTTTATTTATATTTTTATCTCATTTCTTTCTTTCCATCATAATATTAGCATGACATTTCACTCACTAAATTTTTTGAAATATAGTCATAAATTTATATTAAGAGTTTTTATTGTGTATTGTTTGTGTTAAAATTGTGCAAATAGTCTAAAATTGTCATTTTTTAAAAGTACAAAAACCAAAATAAACATTTTACAACTTGTAAGCGACTAAAATGAATAAAATTTAAAAGTAGCAGGGACCAAAATAGACGTTTTGAACATATAAAAAACAAAATAAATTAAAGCGGCCATATTTAAACTTTTTATTTTCTTATTAAATCAACCAAATGTGAAACACGGGTAAAGTTGGGAGAAAAAAAAGCATTAGCATATGGTTTGTGGGAAGAAAAATCCAAAAAAAAAATATATATATATATTGACCATAAGAGAATGGAGAAGAATCTGAATTAAATATCAAATCGAAATTTTACTAATCTGAAAAAAAAAACGCATTACAGCATATGATTCTGGAGAAGAAAAAACTCAAATAAAGAGAAAAACGATAAGAGAGAATCTAAAATATATATATCAAATCGTTCTTACTAAATTTGACCCAAAAATATTGAGAGAAATATAGATTTGGTATAAACTCAAACACCTGAAATTTTCAATTTTTGCTGCTGCAAAGATTTAATTTCCAAACACTGTTTCTTCACTCTTTTTTTTTTTTTTTTTTCTTCATTATCAGCTCAGCCGCACAATTAATTACCAAAACCAGCACTACCTTTTAKTTTTCTTCTTGTTTTCCTTCACGGGTGGGAATTTCCATATATTGTTAAAGTTCAAACTTTGCGTCTCAGTTTTTTCTTTTTTTAATTTATATAAGTAAATAAAGAGGGAAATTATGCGTAGGAATTAATTACCTGTCCCTAATTTGTTAAGAATTAAGATATATTTGAACATAAAGAGAATTAAGACGTAGATATGATATATGTATAAAAAGCATGCATCACGTTATAAAGTTTAATCTCTACTTAAGTCTTCTAAATATTCTCGTGTGGAAAGAATAATATAATTAAACAACTCTCACGAGTAAGATTCAACTAGTTAAAATATTATTTGTAAGTCGAATGTTTGAAAATTGTGTATATATAAAAATGTTAAATAGGTCTTTGAACGTTTGATTTTATGTTTGTGTTATTGATTTACCATCTAAATTTTTAGATAGAGAAATCTAAATTGTTTATCTAAAAGTCATATGAGCGCACACGCCATTATGCTATTTACGAATTTTAATGAAGCATTATATATAAAAGTTACTGCACAAATCTATATTTTCTAAAGCATGAAGTTTCAACATTTTAATTATTTAAATCACAAATTCTTGTATATTAAAAAGTTATACGACTCTATCCATAAACTCAACTTTTTAATTTCTTCTAATAATACTAATAAAATAAAAAGTTAGACATGACTAAAAGTAATATCTGGGGACAATTTTAACTGCATCTCGAAACAAACACAAATAGTAATTCATACATAAAGTTGCAATAAATGTACTCCTTTAATTTCAACCAATTGTTATTTATTTTTGAAAAAACTACTTTCAAAAAGTGGGATTAATATTTTGCATGATCTTATATTTAATAAAAAGACACCCAATTAATGACCTCCATAGCCAACCATTAACCAACAAAAATAGAGAGCTCCAATATGTACAGATCCAATGAGAGGAATCAAATTATGAAAGGAAAAAAGGCAAAAAAAAGAAAAAGAAAATCAAACTTCTCTTCTCTCATTCAAAACAGTGAGCAAAAAAGTCTTTTTCATTTTCAAAACCGCGTGGGACCTAATACACTCAACTCAACCATTCCACTCCCTCTTTCAAAGTCAACCCCAACCATAAAACAGAAGTAAGAAAAACACATTTAAAAAAAAATAAAAATAAAAATATATATGTATATATGTATATGTATATATGTATATATATGTGTGTATATATATAATCGGAGGGTTTCGAGTAAATTATAAAGCTTAGTCCATGAAATTAGATTTATGAATTTTTTTTTGTGTTTAATATATTTCTTTCATATTTAACATTTTCTAAAATTCACAAAGTTATTAAGTACAAATTTTAATACAAAGTGTTAAAAATTTAGGAATTTATTTGACATATTTAGATTTTATTAGACACTTTTTAAAATTTAAGGACTAAGTTTATAAATTAACTTTTAAAATAATACTATCATAATTCAATATACCTCTTCAAAAGTATAAGAGAGAATTTGAAAATTGTATTTTAAATTTGCATCGAATCGTAGTAATTATTTGAGATTTAGGGATTTAATTATAATCATGGTATTAAATATCCAACGATATGTGGACATGTCCATCAACATTTTCATATATCTATGAGTTCTATATCAACAGGTAAATCGACATTTTCATCCTATTACAAAAAAAAAAATCGACAAAATATAAAAAAAATCAACAAAATGTTACTAATATACCCATAATATTAATATTAGTCATTTTAAACTTATTTAGAAATAGAAAAATATTTATGTAAATGTCAATTGTCGCTGAAATATGCTCGATTTGGCGAAAAATATTTATTTGTTAACTTAAATATTTTTTACGATTTTCAATTTTTCTAACTTTTACAAAAATTAATATCCATCGACATTGACATTTTATCGATATTTTCATCGATATTTTCATGAAATTAAGACTTCTATATTTCCATTGACATCAACCTTTAAAATCTTGATGGTAACTGTATATCTAACATACTAGGAAGCAAATTATTTATTTATTTATTATTATTATTCTTTTTTGAGCTTATCAATGAAGTTGGACTCTGCAAAGAATTCCAAAACCGACTTCCAGAAGTATGGGGACCCTACACACAGACGATGACAAATTAAGCTTCTTTTTTCTTTTTTCCTTCTCTCTTTCTATGAATATTTGTATATATAATCACTCAATTTTCTGCAATCTTCTTCTTCTTCTTCAAAACCCCATTTTCAAAATTTTCTTCTTTCAATGCAATCTGAAGAAGCCTTGTCTTTGTCTGCCATGGATGTTTTCTTGGATCTCAATTTGGATCCTTCCCCTAATTATGGATCAGCCATGGATGTGGGTCTTGAAAATTCAGTAAGTTTTGATTTTGTTCCATCCCTTCATCTCTCTGGGTTCTTTTGTTTGAAGAAAATCGTGGCTTCTCTCTTTATTTTCAAGAGAATTTTGATAAATTTAATGATTGTTGTTCAACTGTTTTTTTTTTCCTGAAGGAAAAAAGAGGGTTTGAAGAAGAAATCTTTTGGGATAAAACAAAGCTCTCACTAAGCTTGCAAAATAAGGTGAGCCCACGAGTGCTCTAATTTTCATTTCCTTCTTTAAAAAGATCTGTTTTTTTTTTTAATTTCTTACCATTAATTAGTTTTGAGACCACTGAATGAATGAGTGTTGAGAATATATAAATGAGCTCACACAACAACAAATTTGAGTTTGGTCGAGACCTAATTTTGGTAAATTTCAAAATAATACACATTAAAATACTCAAAATCCGACGACAAAAAGGAATATAAATATTCGTTGGAGTGAAAGCTTTGAAGCAGAGAAACAAACAGTTACCAAACATTTATGCTTATTTCTAAAAAAATGCTTATTTCTAAAAAATGAGAATGTTACCAAACGAGTCGTATAATTTTTGTTTTTTTAATACATCGGGTTTTTCTCTAAATATTATGAATGGTTAATTATGTCATTTGAAGGAATTCGATTCGGGGCGAACATTGGAAGAAGAGTTGGATAGAAAAATCAAGGAGAACGAGAAGCTGAGTCAAATGTTAAGAGTAATGTACGAAAAATACATGAATCTTCAAAAGCAAGTGATGTGTTTAGTGAAGGAGCAGAAGCAGAACTCAGAATTAGTAGAAGCTGAAGAAGCAGTTTCAAGGAAGAGATCAAAAACAGAAGGATCAGAGAATGATCAAAATTGCAGTAATAATAATAATCACACAATGGATAATGAAGAAGAATTCAACAGGTGGCTTGTTAAGAGGCCAAGACTACTAAATCCAAACTCAAAGGTTTCAAAAGTTTTTGTGCACAAAGAAGCATCAGATTCAAGCTTGGTATATATTTTAATTTTATTTAATTTAATTTACCCATAACTAGCTTAAATTAGCCTAATTTTTGCATGTTTGAATTAACAAAACCTCTGGTCGAGAAGTATTTGATACTACGATTATTAGAGGAACAAATATCTAAATTATGAGGATTTGTACGATCTAGAAGCTTTTCGATTGCTCGTTTCGCTATTTCTATAGTGTTTTTTTTCCATTTTCTCTTATATCGACCATATAATCTCTCCATTGACTGTAATACTTGAAGGAGTTGATTGAGATATCTGAATTAAATTTATCTAATTCATCGACTTAAATTTTTGGATTGAGGGGTGGTCTTATTCATCTTTAACAGAGCTCCCATGCGATCAACCACTCCTTCTCACATCCCAAATAAAAGGGAATTGGTGTATGGCCGATTTAGTAAGACCGGTTTTAGAGATTGACCCATTAGGGTTTAGGCTCGATGAAAATTTTGCTTTTGGCTTTCTGTTTTTGAGAAATATATCTAAGATGGTTCGTGTTGAGTTAATTTCTTCATTTTACCTTCTTTTTTAAATCTTAGCCAAATTTTGAGACATGAATTTAGATTCAATAGGGATTGAACCCTAAAATTTGGAATTTGTAAATTATTAGGTGGTGAAAGATGGTTATCAATGGCGGAAGTATGGCCAAAAAGTTACTAGAGACAACCCTTCTCCCAGAGCTTACTTCAAGTGCTCCTCTGCACCAAATTGTCCCGTCAAAAAGAAGGTAATCGATCTCTACTTTACTCGTTTAGTAACATTTTTATTTTTTATTATTCATTTTTTTTCGTAGAAAAAATAAAAAAATAAAATTCTATTTTTTTTCTTATGTCTCATTTTTCTTAAGAAATATAAGAAACAAGAACAGAAATGTGTTGAGTAACTATTTCGAGTTCCTTCTCCTCTAATATTTTAATTCTAAAAAAAATCAACGTTTTGTTTTTCTTAATATATATTTATTATGCTTTGTAGGTAGAAGTAATAAAATAATGCTTTGTTTATAGTTACGAAAAGTTTGAAAAACCAATAACAAGGTTGAATTTTGAAAATTTTGAAATATGTTTAAATAATATCAAACGAGGAACATGAGTAGTTATTATGTAAACAAGAAATAAGAACGCGCTATTGAGTTTTGTCGATTATATGAATTTTGTGATTAGGTGCAAAGAAGTTTGGAAGATCCAAGGATTTTGGTGGCAACTTACGAAGGAGAACACAGCCATGCCAGCCATTTTCAAACTGAGCTATCCTTGAGGTCCATCAATGGCGGGAAAGCCAGCTCAGTCCCGATTTTAGCCACCATCAAGCCGTCGTGCGCCACCGTCACCCTCGATCTGATCCATGGAAACGGCATGTCGTCGTTCAAGAGCCCGACTCCGACGACAACGGTCGAAACGGCGGTTTGGCAGCAGTTTTTGGTCCAACAAATGGCCTCCTCATTGAAGAAGGATCCTGAGTTTGCTGATATTGTTGCAGGGGCAATCTCAGGCAAGATTTTGGGCCAAACAAATAAACATCACTGTTAAACCTAAGTTTATTTAATTATTTTAGGCTTTTGTGAATACGTTTTTGTTTCATGGGACAATCCAAAGTTTAATTAAAAAAGTTACTTTTTAAATCTGCGACGATGATGTCAATATTAGGACATATTTCGAAGTGGTTGGACGTATACAGCTAGAATCTCTAATTTTTTTCTTAATATTAATCGCTTGAAATAACGTTAAAATAATTATATAAAAATCATTTTCACAAAATCAATTTTTATTAAATCTCTTTTGCTAAATTCACTCGTTCTAAAATCATTTCCATACTGATCCTTAATAGTATCAATATCGATTATCATTTTTGTCTTTGTAGCAGTGAACGTTCAATTGACAAAAATTTTAGGAACAATTCGAGTTGAAGTATCCACCTCTAATTTTCTTTTGTTAGAATATATATATATATATATATATAATAAAAGAAGATGAAATGGTCGAGTCTATTACTTCTAGTTGTACAGTCGATGAATAATAGAAGTCTTGTTTATTTAGTTATTCCTAGTATATTTAATGTGTGTATTTGGTTGAACAAATGATCCAACACCTTTTAAGTACAAAGAGCGAAACATTTTGTTCTTATATTTAATAAATAAGTAAATCTCATTATTATAATATATTTTTTAGATAAAAAATCTATAGAGTGGAAATTTGAATTTTCGACATTTCAATCTATGATGTATGTCTTAACCAGTTAAACTATATTACATATCTTGTTAACATGAATAAATAGTATATTTGAGATCTTAAAAAGAATTAGTTTTTAAATAGTATATTTGAGCGTGTTTAGCTCACACGTGCCCGTTTAAGGAAAAATTTAAGTTCAAGTTTGAGAATATCTGGATTCCCTTTTGTAATTTTCGTACACTTGTTCTGTTTCAAAAAAAAAATGTTAAGGCATCTTGCTCATTTTGTAGAGATCGAAGATTCGATCTCTCACAACATAAACAAGTTTTTTGTTCCGGTTTTAATTTGTTCTAGTATAAATAAAACGTCAGTTGGTGTTAGGAGCAACGTAATTCCATTTTTTTTATTATTAAAAAAGAAAACAGGAACAAGAAAATGTAACATCACCAAGATAGGCCTGTAATTTATTGTTCTTGTTTCTAGTTTTTTTCTTTTTTCAAAAACATAGAAAAAAACATTATCTTTATCATTTTTTACTTATAAAATGCATCATAAATATAACATAAAAATGTTGAAATTTTAAATTCCATATAAAATTTGTACTTTTCTTAATTTAAAATTTTGGAGAGAAATAATTTTCAAAATATTTATGTTCTTTTTTTTTGTATAAAAAAGAATGATATCAAACGCGATTTTTCTTGATTGAAAAAATAAAACGAAAAACAAGAAACGGTAAAATGATAAACAAGCTGAAATAGAAACGTTATGAAATGAACCTAAAATTTATGTGACTAGTGTTTTTTTTCCCTAATATTTGTCAAATAATAAGAACACTATATTTGAAATTCCATGGGTAAAAACTTCTTCCCCGTTGAAAGTCTTGACATAAAATATCCCTACCTAACAACTTTCTCCAAACTATTTTTGCTTGTACCATATATTTTAGGAAAATAAATAATACATCGACATATCAAAGAGGATCATTCTAATAAACACATAAGTCCACCCATTGAATGATAAGTTTTCTTTTTCCATCTTTGAAGTCTCACTTCCATCCATATAATCGGATTCTAAATTACGGTCACTATCAATATAATAATTTTCTCAATATATAAAGACTTCTGGTTTAAGAAAGCTAATAAATATATATATACGGCTGAACGATTAAGATTTACCAAATTCTGATTTCTAACATCACTAAATCAAATTGAATATGAACTCCAACCTAAAAAATTATGTGTTGAACTTTATTTTAGTACAACAAATGTAGGAGAATAGAGACTTGAACTTTCGACCTCAAGAAAATAAGCAAATATGTTGGCAGATACTTATTGACTTGAACATCAAAAGTCATTTTCAAAAAAAATAAATAAAGAAAAAACCTTTGACATAATAGGGATAGTAGTTAGGGATGACAACAGGGTCGGGGGCTATACCCATCCCCGCCCTGTTGGAGATTTTTTCCCCATCCCCGTCCCCATCCCCAAAATTTTGGAGCGGGGACAGAGCGGGGATTCCCCGATCCGGGACGGGTTCCCCATTATAAATATATATTTTAAATTTTAAATTTTTTTTAAATTAAGTTTTGTTATTATTAGTATAAAAGTGATTAAATGGGTATTAGTTTGAGTTTTTTTTTAATTAAAAAATATTTATAAAATTAATATATATTAATATTATTATATAAAAAAATATAAAAAGTAATAAAAAATTAAACGGGGCGGGGTCGGGGACGGGAGAGAACCGATCCTTGTCCCCACCCCGGCCCAGTCGGAAATCCGATTGGGAACCTCGGTTTGATCCAGTCTCCTATCAAATCAGGAAATCTCCACCTGATTGGGTCGATACCTACAAAGATAGAGTCCTACGGTTATTTTTACCATCCTCAATAGTAGCAGATGAATTAGAAGCTTGGAATAAGGAAACGATAGAAGACAACAAAAGCTAAGACAAATGTGGAAAGTGGAGCAAATGCGAACAAAGGCCGCAAACGCTGACCAAATTACAACATTACACTTACTCTTAACTTGTCGTGCGTGAAAAGGAGTTGGATTTGGATTAATAATTGTTTGAATTCCAAACCCATTGACTTCAAATTTCTTAGCGAAGACTAAACAAGTCCACATCCATTTGTTTCTTCTTTTCCAATGGTCCAATTCTCTTGCGCCCACCATTTTTCCTTTCTAGAAAGAAACATATTATCAAAGTCAGCTATGTACACGTACAAGTTAGTAGCAGTAGTGTGTCTATTTACGTTTCTAGACTTTGAATTATGTTTAGTTTTAGTATAATGTCTAATATTCCGATACGACATTGTCTCACTCAAAATTTAGACGAAATTGACTAGATATATATAATATAATCACTCGACTCCGACGTCTCGAATTTAATCGAGGAGCATTATAAGTAAACACAGTGATTAAGAAACACAATATAAAGTAATTTAGCATACCAGAGAGAGGAGATTAGAGATATGGCATGACAGTTTGGATGATTAGATCACTAATTACCTGAGAAATTTCCTCTTAGTGATCATCTTCATATAACATTACATCATTATATACATGTAAAAAACACAGAAAGAGAGAAGTTACAGACTAATGGAGGAAATATTAGCAGGGGAAAAGATGTATTATATAGAACATGAACAAACTATTATTACATTTTTATGATATATTTTACAGCAAAATTCTGATCTAACCAAATCCCATTTGAGTGCTTCCTCAAACAAGACTTCCTTAAATCTACCTCCCTACCAGTAACTCAGTTACACAAACAGCAACAATGGCTGATGAGTTTCACACCCCTGTAGCTTCTTCTTTTCTTAACAAATAATACAAGTTTGGTGGAAGACTTACTGCTTCATAAATGGCCCGTATCTCGTCCGAACACCGGCTGCTTATTCTACCTCCCGTGCCTCTGAAACTTTCTTTTTTGTCCAAGATAGCAACATTGAAGTCGACATTGTTTCGACTGTGCACGATGGGTTATTTTTGGCCACGGCATATAGAGAATAACTTAGTATGTTGCAGAAATGTCTGTTAGAACACACGGGATCAATTGATGTCGCTATGCTAGGTTCGGGTCTTCATCAAGAATCCTGACTCCTTTTTTGGGGTACTGACCTTCAACTTCTCCTTCTTCTCCTTCTCCTTTTCTGCTGCTTCCTTCTGTGCTTTCTTCTTTTCGTAATCAAGCTGCTTGCAGTTCTCTTCATGCGCTCGCACGAACATACGCACAAAATTGAACAGCGTCGATACAACTGATATCCGAACAAATGTCTTGGATTTCAGTACCAAATATGTTCATTATAGAAGGGGGATGACTCTGTGAGTTCTAGGCACTTGCACATTTAACCTTTGAAAGAATATTTTCCTTTCGTTTCTAAGTTAGGGTTAGTCAGTTCTACTTTTTGATAGTAGCAAAGAGAGGGATATAGCAAATATACCTTGCTCAAAAGGGCAACGTGCTGGGTCCTCCCCGAAGTAAAGCGCCAATGCATCAGCATTCCTACCCTGAAAATGCCCAAAGTTCAGAAGATTTCTAATGCTGCTTTCACAATATATATCGAAATTAAAGGAAAGAGCATCATACATACCACATTAGAATAAAGAGAGGCAAGAGACCTCACTTCGGCCTCGGCATGAGAAAGGAAGCCTTTTAAAGTCTAAATATAAAGAAAACAATAAGACAGTAACTGGTATGAATTGAAAGAAACAACTGCCACATCTTTACAAGAGGAAAGCAGCTAAAACTCATAATTTGGAGCAGTTCTTAGACAAGGAAGTCAACAAGTCATTGCATAGTTATCCCTTTTCTCTCATTTTGAGCCCTTTCTGTATTTGTTCTCTGATTTTCTGTTAGCTTTTTTTGGCTCCTTTTGGCCTGGGATTTCCCTTTTTTTTCTCTTTATTGCCCTCGTGTATTCTTTCCTAAGTTCTCCCAGGAGATTAAGTTAAGTGAATGCCAAAAATGATAATGTTCCAACCAGTTAATAATGCTGGAAATAATCATCAATCTTAGACTAATTTCTAAGATCAGCCAAATTACCATGTCTTAAGCAAACTACTTTAGAACTTTACAAAAATAAAACTATCCTTCATTAAACGCTACACAATACCCGGCAAAAATTTTCTGAAACAATCCCATCATTTTCTGAATTCGCCAATTCCTGAACAACCTTCTCAAGCCCTTTGCTAATGGCTTGCATTTCCTCTGCCAAATATTTCAGTTGTATCTGCATGATGATCAAACTATTAGCTTCAACTACAAAACAACACTGGATACTGGTCGTACTGCACAGAAATTAAAAGAAATGAAGAAATAATACCTTTGTAGAACCTTCCAAACTCACAAGGTCCTTCGGAAAATCCAGAAGTTCTGGCAGCTTTTCAGCAAGCACCTGCACTTAATCAGGCAGATATTTTACAAGTTAACATATAAATGTATAACAAGTGCCTAAGATGTTCGATTCTCAAACAATTTAGACTTAAAAGTTACTTTAACCGAACATCTACAGTTTTACTCCACCATCCATCTAGAATCCATAATTTTTAAAAGTTGTGTTAAGTGCCACCTTTACAAAGATTTGACAGTCAGATAATGATTCATCTTTATCACTTTATTAGAAGCAGCGCTTAACTTGGAAGTATACTGTTCTTTATAAGAAGTATACTGTTCTTTATAAGAAAATGGATTGGCTTGGGAAGGGTTCGTTCATTGTCATTTTTACTATTTACTCGTGAATTATTTTAAAGTTTCCTCATTCTCAGAAACAGCAAGAAGAATACCATGTATGTGCATTACACAATAGCATTGACATGAAGATTATAGTAAATCATGTGTACTAAATGCAGGTGAGACAAGAGTATTCACTATAAGAGAGAAGTTTTTGCTGAACGACAATACAAAGAAGACCGCCATACATCAAGAAAGCCTATAGAACTATTTGACAAGCAAAAGGAGCAATTTATTGAACAGAACAGGAGAAGTCTACCTTACATAGATAATGCATGAGAGTCATCTTGTTGTTTCTGGCTCGCGTATCAGTGAGTTTGAGAAGACTATCAAGCCGAAATCCAATAGCAGAACCTACATCAGCAAGAACTCATAAGAGCAGAACACTTGAAGTCTTGGTGATACCATTCAAAAGTTTTAACGGTGAAGCAGAACACCTAAAGGAACTATTTCCTATTTTTTAAATTTTAGGCATCTAGTGTGCTATGCATGGCATATTTATAAACCTTTTTTTTTGGGTCAATGAATGAGTCTTTGCAATCGAAGTTTCATCTAGAAAAAATTTACCTAAAATAAATGTCGTATATTCTTCATTTTATCATCACAAATACTGTTTTCTTCATTCTAAAACTCAATTCTAAAATATGCATGTCATTGTAAAGAATAAATAAATATTAAATATGATTCTATTATAAATACTTATAATAAGTAAAGTTTAAATACTCTATTTATTTTTAGGTTTCGTTCATTTTAGTCTCTATAATCTCAAAATATTCATTTTAGCCCCTACCCTTTCAACTTTATTCTCTGTGCTTTCAAAACGCCGATTTTGGTCCTTATACTTTTTAGAAGTAACTATTGTAGTCCTTATATGCAAAACTTTAACACAATTTTTATACAAAATGAAAAACTCTTTAATACAAATTTGTGGCAACATTTCAAGAAATTTATTGAGTGAAGTGTCATGGCAAAATTATGATTGAAAAAAATTAGATAAAATGAAGGGATCAAAATGGTCACTTTATAGAAGTATGAGAAACAAATCAAAGGCTTCAAAAGTACATGAACTAAAATGGACAAAAGCTAAAAGAACAGGGACCAAAATGGAAGTTTTGAAAGTACAGGAACCAAAATAAACTCAAGCTAAAAGTATAGGGACCAAAATAATATGTAAACCTATCATTAATTTTAACCTTCACTTTTGAAAGTGAGGCATTCATATTAGTTAAGAGATTTACCACGAGTGTGAAGGCAAATTTTTCGAAAAAAATGTTTCTCCACTGTTCATACATAGTGTAGATTATTTGAGAGGTTATTTCAAAGGGAAAAGACTCCCTCACCTCTAGCCGTTCCGTGGTTCAAAGCATTACCCAATGATAGAATAGTTTGCATTACCCTTTTCAACTTTACCGAACTTCTGATCTGACTAGCACATAGAGAAAGGGTTTAAAATGTGAAAATGTCCAGATGATGCACCTAAATTAAGGAAATTCAAAGGAACATCACTTGCCTCTTCAGATGCCGAATTGATAGTATTCAGACTATATCTAAGGTCAGAGACCTAGAAAGTGAAAATAGTGAAATTGGGAATAAGTAATACAAAAAGAAAAAGGAACAGAACAATTAGATAGGCTGTCCCCTCACCTGCAAACGGAATTGTATCTTGAAAGAAAAAACCCTTAGCTTGGACTCTACTCGTGGGACTTTCATCAATTCTAAGAAGAACTACAGGGAGAAAAGACAGAAGCAGGTTAATTTTTTTTTTATAAGAAACAAATTATCAATCAATAATATGAAGCCAAATGCCCAAAACATATAAAGAAAAACTCCGATGCTAAAATAGAATTTTCCCAACCATGGTTCAAATAATGATGTGGTAATGAGGGTTGAATTGCAGATAAGTTAGCTCTATAATTTAGAAA